CATTGTGCCGGCCGGATGCCAGGAGGCTGGTGCTGCTAGCTGGGGCCAGTGGCAGCACCAATCTTCCTGGCACTGGGTGGCGAAATGTCAAAACAGCATCGAAACAGCAAAACACTTTTGATGAAAAGAAACAGTACAGTGCTTTTAAAATGAAACCAAACTCGAAACGAAACATTGTTCCATTGAAATGCAAGTCAAAGCGGAATGATGCTGTTTTGCACAACCCTACAAAACACCCTTCATAGATGAGCCTACGAACTTAACTTTGTAAATCTACTGGATATAAAAAAGCAAGCATGGACTAAATATAGACATTAGATTTATGGTACATTGTAACCTGCCTGACATCTGATAATCCCAGGTAACTTGTCTGCATTTTAACAGCTATATTCTATCACCAGTTCAAATTCCTACCCACCTGTCTCACATCTATTGTTTCACAGGGCCTCTGATCCTGGCTGCTACATATTTGCATGTTCACAGATCTGCATTTTGAATACTGGTTTCCATTCTACCCAGAAGAGCACACAAAAAAAACAACAGATGCTCCCTGTGCCTAAAGAAGGGAGTTTTTACACAAAAGCTTGCAAAGAACAATTTTTCCAACCATTTAGTTGGTCTTATAAAAGATATCACATGGCGCTTGTCCATGTAATCGGCGTTTACCTGCAAAAAAGGCTTCTGGTTTAATTTTCCTTACTTAGTTTACGACAACTAATTAAGTAACATGGACATGATTTACCATGCAATGGCTTATTATGCTATAAATAGTAAAATGTCAGAACAATTTTACCCTCCTACCCTTTCCATACAGGAAACCCTTGTTATTCATGGGTTCGGCATTTGTGGTTTCAAATATTCGCGAACGCTGAACCTGCATTTTAAATACACTTTATACACTTCACGCTTGCTGCTGCCAGGGTCCTAACACCACCGCTGGGCTCCCGCTGCTGCTGCTGTGCTCCTGCCTTCACTACTAGAACTGTGCCCCCCCCTCCCCCCCCAGCTGCCAGGGGCACCAGGTTCATGAACACAGTACCTTATTTGCAGATTTTGCCATTCGTGGGGGATACGAGAATGTATCCCCCACGAACGGCGAGGGTCACTTGTACTACTTTACTGCCAGGTGGCGTTTTAGGACAAGATTTGATATTTTGGCAGGTTTAGTTTTCTTGGGTCGCGTGCCGGGTTGCTTTTTGGGGGGGAATTGTTGGCGGTTTTGCTTGAGAGAGTTTTGGGAGGGTTTTGAGTTCAATAAGCAGTGCTGCCCACCTCCCCTGCAAAGCCTCATGCTTTTTTTCTGGGTATTTGCTGCTTGTACCATGGGGCGTTGCTGGGTGGGGAGGGAAATCTTTTCACGCAAAGTTCCACAAGAGTGAGCCTGGCTGCCTCCCCCTCACAAGTCTGGATTGGCACTGGGGGTCTGTACCGCAGGCTTTCTGAAGGGACTGCCCCCCTACCGAAGCCAGGTCCCAAAGCAGTTCTGCCCTCAGCTTTTTCTGCACGCTTGTTGCACTGGGCACTGGGTGTGGGGTACACTTAGGGCTGCACAAGGGTACACAAAGGGTCTGGCTGCCTCACCCCCTGGTGTTCGCATCTGGGTATCATGTACCCAGGCTACCCAGGCTGAAACCTGAATGGAAACATTACTACAGGAATTTTTATGTAAAACAGAAAGAATCCTGTGTCTCCTGTTGTTTGTATCCTCATGTCAAAAAGCAGGATTTTTTCCAAAGTACTGAGAAAAAGGGGGGGGGGGGGGAGTGACCTGGGGTTGTTATTGAAGTTGATTAAGATTTCTTGGGTATCTCTGTGCCCAGCTTCCCCCAAAGTGGGGTTGGGGGGGCATGATCAGCCTACTCCAACTCCCTCTGCCCCCGCAATCACCACACAGCGGCCAGCATGAGCTAACACCCCCACCCCCACACGACAGGGGCATGGTGTGGGTTGAGGTGAAGAAAGAAACAGCCCAGGCTCAATGAGAGGAATTTTCTTATCACTTAGTCTATTTGCATGTCAATATTTTAATTGCTGCACTGACAGATCATCATTGCCTGCAGTCATATCCCCCCAGCCTACAACCAGATCCCTTCAATACTTGTTCTCCTTCCTGTCCTCTCCCCCCCCAAGCTTGCCCCTCTTCTCTGGTCCTCCTGTTCCTTCCAAGCCTATTTTTGTCTCCAGCAACATGTCTCTGTCCTTCTTTGACCACCCTCTGCTTGCCATTGCTCTGTCTGACAGTCATACTGCTGCCTCTTTCTGGGAGTGTAGGGTGCTGCAGGTCAGGAGTGAGGGGCACCAACTGGGCTGAGGGGGCAGGGGGCTGCAGTTTAGGAGTGAGGTGCACCAGCAGGGTTTGTGGGGGGGAGGGGGCTGGAAGGGCAGGGGGCTGCAGCAGGAGTGAGGGGCACCAGCTGGGCTGGGGGGCTGCAGGTTCGCTAGGAATGAGAGGCACTGGCAGGGCTGGTGGGGCAGGGGACTTCAGGTTCAGAGTGAGGGACACGGGCAGGGTTGATGGGGCAGGGGGTGCCACTTGCACCAACCACCAGCTCCTCATGCGCTCATGCCACAACCCCCAGGCCACTGCAGGGAGAGGAGAGTCACGCACTCTTGGAGAGGCTTGGGTCCTGCACCCAGCTCTGGGTTGTAATGGCCACGTATAACTGTGTATGGTGCGGGCTGTGCTAAACTGTTATATGTGGTCATTGCACCCAGCCCAGGGGTATATCTCAGGCCTCTCCATACACTGTTATATGGAGCTGTTACACCCCAGAGCTGGAAGCATCTCTGCCCTCCCC